TTAGATACGAGACTGCACCAAATGCTTTTTTCCTAATGTATCACAGAATGCATGTATCTCTTTTGCAACAGAACCATTGTCCATATCTGGTGTCACATGGCATCTGGGAAAGGTAATAGTGGAAAGGGATTGAGTTTGTCTAAAAATTAACAACTAAAGTTTTGCAGAAGTTCATCAGGAATTATCCCATTGTCTTGGTATAAACTTCAGTTGTTGGATTAGCATCTTTGCTCTGGTTGTATAAGGGAAGATGAATCCTAATGATTGACTGACAATGGCCTGGTATAATTTACGAATGGTGGGCATTTTGTACTACTAGGGATGGTGCTTATACCTAAGGCTATCGGTGGGGCAGTGCTAGTGAAGACCTAAGGTGGATTCAGGGATTTCTGTTTGTTTATGTGAGTTCTGTACTGGTAGAATAAGCTTATTTTGGTTTATTAGATTACAATAATCTGGTTCAAGGCCCACTGTCAGATGTTGAATCCTTCACTACTTAGTAGCTGTCTTAGACTGTCTCTCAGCTGTGGTCATGCTCTAGAGGCAGTTGACAACATAAAAACTCTATTGTATGGTGAATTGTAGACGATCACCTGGCTTTGTACTGTCAAGAACATGCTTCAGTAAAGTGTAGAAAGGACAGTGTGACCTGCAAGTGGTGACAAAAGGGAGCCCCTGCCACTCATATACATGCAATTCTCTGTCTTGTTCCATATCCCTTCAGATAAATAAAAAGATAGGCTTGTCATGCTCCAAAAAGTAAACTTGTTGGAACATTTATTTTATATTCCCACTTATAGGCACCAAATGCTCTCTCAATCTTATCAAGACTCCCAGGAGAGATGGACAAAGTAAGTTTGCCAGTTAACAATAGCTGTGTCCCAAAGTGAAGTGCGCACACTCCGAAGTGCGTATTTGAAGTGCGATTGCGTCACAGCGGCGCGATGAAGGCTGTCTCAATGTGAAGTGCGCGCACTCCGAAGTGTGCATTTTAAGTGCGATTGCGTCACAGCGTCAAAACAAAGCTGTCCCAATTCAGGATACACCCTCCGAAGACCACATTCCAAGGCCGACTGTGTCACCGCGGTGCGACAAAGGCTACCGTAATTCGAAAGCGACTTCAAATGCACCCTCCGTTTCCCAGGAAAATTAAGTGTACCTCTGATGGACACTTCGCACCCTACCTTATCCAAATTAAAATCGAGTGTGTAGATGACGTTGGAATTTATATTCAAAGAACATGGAGGATGAGAGTTCTGTGGGGGAATTCACATTGAAATATGAGTATTGTGTTTTCATATATAAACATCATATTCATAAATGTACATTTTCTAAATGCAAACCTCTTTTTTTAAGATTCAAACTTGAAATGAAATTGTATTTTGAATCTATTGAGTACTCTACAAGCTTGAAAGCAATAAGAACAATGGCTTTGCTAAAGGACTTGGCACTTCCTCTGGACTGAATGACCCTGGACTCTTGATGTATTATTAAGATTTGACAATTATCACAATTGTTAGTTTTTTTAAGCATTTTTTAAAAAAGATACCAAGCGGCAACCTTCCGGTCTCTCTCTCTTGAAACCAACACGGAAGTGACTTAAACTGCAATTCATCGACTGGCCGCTAGAGACTGGCTCCAAAAGGGAGTCATTTCCATAGACCTCCCATGTTAAAATGCCCAACTTTACAGCAGAAAAAAGTTGTTTTGGTCTATATAGCTATTTTTTTTTTTTTATTATATTAAGCTTTAAAGCTCTGCATAATTAAGGGCGTGGCTACTTGAGTGACAGGTGGATTGCCGCTGCTGTCACTACCCTCGAGCTAGGTGGGCGTGGTTTCAGCAATTAGGCACCTCAGCTTCACCCACGTCCTGCCTCTTTGCCCATTTTGATTATCTGCGCATTACTGCCAAGATGGCGACGACCGGCTCCGCCCACTTTGGGCTTCAAAAATTCTCTTAATAAAACGGATAGTTCCGGACCTTGATTCTGATTGGTTGAGCCGCATTCAAAGCTGCTGTAAATTACTCTAAAAACATACACCTTTTGTTTACGTCTGTGTGTTGCTCGGCCACTTTGTTGCAACCACAACCGTTTCTGAGGAACTACATTGTTACTGTTTTCTCAGCTCCACCCACGTCCCGCCTCTTTGCCCGTTTTCGATTATCCGAGAGTGTAGCGCTGCCATGATGGCGACGGCTGGCTCCACCTACTTTAGGCTGCAAAAATGCTCTTCAGAAACCTACGGGAGACGTCGGATATTTTTATACAGTCTATGGCTTGCACAGACAGCTTGCGATCGTGAATTCAAATTTCTTTTGTGTCTTATTGTGCTTGAATGGTCAAATACACACACAGTTATGTCAAAATGCCCATCATGTGAAGTATTCATGTAAACACAGTCAGTTATGTGTTAAATAAACGTTAACAGTTGGGTGAAAACCGGATGTGTTTCAGTAAATTGGATCTGTGCAGTCGGTCTTAAAGGGACAGCAGCCTAATTTACCTGCTGCTGTCTGTGTCATTGATGTTATTCAAACAACAAAAGACAGAGAAAATCACACACTGTATTTGACTGAATCACTTTTGAATTCATATTTGATTCATGCAATGAACACATGCAGTGTTTTAGTTATACACTTGATTATTCAATTTTTGTAGCATTTCTTACTACATGTTAAATAAACCCACTGTAGCGGAAAGACTTAAGTTTATTTAATTTGTATTTTTGTTCTATTGTGTTTGCTTCTTTGGTCTTTTTTGTTTTCATCTATTTTATTTTTATTTATTTGAATAAAAATATCTATATCGAGATATATTATTATCGTGAAATAAAATTTCTCATACCATGAAATAAGATTTTGGTCATATCACCCAGCCCTAAATGTGAGTGTGTATGAGTGCATCTTTTATAGTCTCCTCCTGATTGGAAACGGGGTGCGTATGTAAATTAACACATAGCCGAAGCGCTCGCACCAAGCGGCAACCTTCCGCTCTCTCTCTTGAAACCAACACGGAAGTGACTTAAACTGCAATTCATCGACTGGCCGCTAGAGACTGGCTCCAAAAGGGAGTCATTTCCATAGACCTCCCATGTTAAAATGCCCAACTTTACAGCAGAAAAAAGTTGTTTTGGTCTATATAGCTATTTTTTTTTTTTTATTATATTAAGCTTTAAAGCTCTGCATAATTAAGGGCGTGGCTACTTGAGTGACAGGTGGATTGCCGCTGCTGTCACTACCCTCGAGCTAGGTGGGCGTGGTTTCAGCAACCAGTCACCTCAGCTCCACCCACGTCCCACCTCTTTGCCCGTTTTCGATTATCCGAGAGTGTAGCGCTGCCATGATGGCGACGGCTGGCTCCACCTACTTTAGGCTGCAAAAATGCTCTTCAGAAACCTACGGGAGACGTCGGATATTTTTATACAGTCTATGGCTTGCACAGACAGCTTGCGATCGTGAATTCAAATTTCTTTTGTGTCTTATTGTGCTTGAATGGTCAAATACACACACAGTTATGTCAAAATGCCCATCATGTGAAGTATTCATGTAAACACAGTCAGTTATGTGTTAAATAAACGTTAACAGTTGGGTGAAAACCGGATGTGTTTCAGTAAATTGGATCTGTGCAGTCGGTCTTAAAGGGACAGCAGCCTAATTTACCTGCTGCTGTCTGTGTCATTGATGTTATTCAAACAACAAAAGACAGAGAAAATCACACACTGTATTTGACTGAATCACTTTTGAATTCATATTTGATTCATGCAATGAACACATGCAGTGTTTTAGTTATACACTTGATTATTCAATTTTTGTAGCATTTCTTACTACATGTTAAATAAACCCACTGTAGCGGAAAGACTTAAGTTTATTTAATTTGTATTTTTGTTCTATTGTGTTTGCTTCTTTGGTCTTTTTTGTTTTCATCTATTTTATTTTTATTTATTTGAATAAAAATATCTATATCGAGATATATTATTATCGTGAAATAAAATTTCTCATACCATGAAATAAGATTTTGGTTATATCGCCCACCCCTACTCCATAGATTTGAACAGAATTAATTGTCAGAGAAAAGGAAATGAGCTGGTTTGCTCACCTGCTTGTGACTGCACAGATCTGTAGTGAGATAGTTTTCGAAACCATCATGTGTTTTGTTTTGCTTCTAGCTTTGGACACACACTGTGGACCTCACCAGCCAATGGCGTGAGAAAAGAAGCACATGCTTTTCTAATCGCTGCAAGCTTTATTTTTCTCTTCTCTGCTCTGGTTGTGTGTCATAGGCCTACTGGGCAAAATACATGTAGAAGAGGATTACGTAAGCACCACACGCTTGAGCAAACTCATTCCTGTGAGCTGTACATCCTCTTTAAAGAGACAACATTATACTGTAGCCAGCATTCTGACAACACAAGTAATTGCTTTCAGAGATTTGAAAACATGACCGGCATGTGAAAGTTCAATGTTAAAGTGTTTGCTCTCTGTTTCCTTATGTAACGAATATATCTGGTCCTAATGACTAATTCATTTAATTGAATCTTACATTTTATGTAACAGTGGTTTCATGAACGATTTACACAAATTTGTTCTGGTCCAGTTTCGTGAGTAAAGCCCAGTGTCTCTGCAAGGTTTTGATGCCAGGACAGATGATTATGATCATTCAACAAAAAATAAAATAAATAAATAAATAAATACATGAGCCAAAGGTTGGTTTTGATTTTAGTGTCATCAAAATCATGTCGAAATCCAAACAGAGAGATGTCATTACGAAGTTGCATCAGAGGGTTCTGAAGATACAACAATCATATAATGTTATAATACTAAATCTCAAAATCAAACTGTAATTAAAACCATTTTACATTTTAAGGCAGGGCCCAAAATTATGGTTCTTCAAAAATTCTTAGTTCAGCGAAGATTGTTCTTCATATTATGAACTATGTTGCTTTTGTAGGACTCTTGAGATGGTGTTTTCTAAGAGTTATTGTCTCTGTCACATTAAGGCTTCAGAAACCTGCACCTGGATGACCAGATGACGCTGTTGCAGTGCTCCTGGCTCTTCCTCATGTCCTTCGGCTTGGGCTGGAGATCCTACCAGCAGAGTAACGGAGACATGTTGTGTTTCGCTCCAGACCTCGTCATCAATGAGTGAGCCCACCTTTACTACCCACAACTAGAATGTTTTGGCTTTCAGTGACATATTATGTGGTTTTCATGATCGTGTCTAGTCATAGTCAAATGTCACGTAAACTAAAGGCAGTCATATGGCATTCATTCAAAACCCAAAGTCTTCGTTTCAAAGAATGGAAAATGGTTGAATAGTGTGGGTATGTTGATGTATTGTCTTTTATTTTACATTATGTTAATGTTAATTAACATTATAAATGCTATATATGTTAATGATAACATTATAAAATGCTCATTTGTGACCCTGGACCACAAAACCAGTCATAAGGGTCAATTTTTCGAAATTGAGATTTATACATCATCTGAAACCTGAACAAATAAGCTGTTAGGATCGGACAATATTTGGCCGAGATACAACTATTTGAAAATCTGGAATCTGAGGGTGCAAAAAAATCAAAATATTGAGAAAATCGCCTTTAAAGTTGTCCAAATGAAGTTCTTAGCAATGCATATTCAAAAATTAAGTTTTGATATATTTACGGTAGGAAATTTACAAAATATCTTCATGGAACATGATCTTTACTTAATATCCTAATGATTTTTAGCATAAAAGAAAAATCTATAATTTTGACCCATACAATGTTTTTTTGGGTATTGCTACAAATATACCCCAGCGACTTAAGACTGGTTTTGTGCTCCAGTGTCACATCTGAATTAGCTGCCAATTTAATTCCTTAAAGCTTTTGGCTACACCTATAATGTCAAATATCTTCCCCCATTGATGATCAGAAGTATCAGTATAAATTTTTTTTTTTTTTTTTAAGTTGGAAAATCCCCAGACCTATAATATAAGTGAGTGTATTATATTTAATATTATATACATTATATATAACATTTAATACAAAATTATATTTATAATAATTAATAATTATATATTATTATATTTCATTTAATGTAATATATTTCAGTTCAATATTCAGTATTTATATTTATTATTTTTTTTTATATAATATTTAACGCAAGTGAATTTACAATTTGCATTACTAAAATAAGCTCCAACAACTTTTAAAATTGTGCATAATATTTAAAAAATATATTGTACTACTCTATATTGTACAATCGATTAAATAATGCATACATATTCTAAGTCTGTTACAAATGTAAATATCTTAAGAATACCAAACAATGGACAAAATGCATTTTTACTATTTCTGAAGGAAAAGGGGCAGCTTCTCTGCCATCTTGTGAATTGCAGAAGATGTTCCATGTTATTTGCTATTTGCATGCAGTGTTATGTGAGAAATGACCGCTTGTGGGTGTTGGTACATTTAATGCATAACTAGGAAATGTATATACTCTATTATTTTTTTTTATGTATACAGTATGCTTACAGACTTTGCATTTGTCCGTTTGCTCATGACGCATCACATACTCTTTTCTGTCAATATATCCTCCATCGTCAAGAAATACAGTTAAACCTGACATTTGACATTGTGTTTTACACCATTGCTTTAGAAAAAACAAACTGAAATTGAAAACACGATATGGCAAAGTGGCTTTATACAATTGCAAAAGGCTGTGATTTAATGAACTAAGTAGTTGCAATTCGTTGCTCATGCAATCAGCAAACAATTTTTCATTTCGTGGCCATGCTGCTTTATGTCCATGTCAACAATAATTTTGTCAAATGTTAAAGTTTCTAATATAAGCCATGATGTTTGGCCTGTGAAATTCTTGCAGAATGTGAATATTTGTGTGTGTGTGTGTGTGTGTGTGTGTTAAAGGGAGAGGATGAAACTACCCTACATGAATGACCAGTGTAGCCAGATGCTGAAGATCACCAATGAGCTGGTCAGGCTGCAGGTGTCCAATGACGAGTATCTCTGCATGAAAGTGCTCCTCCTCCTCAGCACAGGTATCAGCACTCATCAGAATTCAGAAGTGTGTTGCATACAGAAAGTGTACATGTACAGTGACCTCAAAAAGTATTCGTCAAGTGGTATTTATTTTAAAGAAGACGGCACAAATATTTCACAAAAATAACTCATTTGTTCAAAATTCAAAATAATGGGCAACACTTTATTTTAAGGACCAATTCTCACTATTAACTAGTAATACTGGCTGTTTATTAGTACTTATAAAGCACATACCTTATTCTGCATGAGCATATTTTAGATCCCTTATTCCTACACCACACCTAAACTTAACAACTACCCTACTGTTAATAATGAATATTAATAAGCAGCAAATTAGGAGTTTATTGAGGCAAAAGTTAGTTAATAACGAGAATTGGACCTTAAAATAAAGTGTGTCTAAATAATGTATTTGGACACTTTGTGGACATTAGGGGAACATGTTCATAGTGGGTTATGTTGCTTGGACATCTGAGTGAACTTGAGGGACACTTATGCATTCCTTCATTTTAATATGGGTCTTCAGTGTCCAAATACTTTTTGGAGCTGCTGATTTGACATTATCCCAAAATTATTGGCATATTTTGGGATACTCATTATGATGCTTGTTGATGATCCACCTTGGATAAACTCTAGTGATTTGAGTTTCAACAGGTTGACTCATCATTTTCATTTTCTTTAAATCCCAGAATAGTAACTAAATTATGAATTAAGATGAATAAATTATGAATTAAGATTTTGTAATGTTTTTGAAAGAATTCTCGTATGCTTACAACGGCTGCATTTATTTGATTAAAAATAATGTAAAAACAGTAACATTGTGAAATATTATTGCAATTTAAAAGAGCTGTTTTTTATTTTAAAATGCAATGTATTCCTTTGATGCGCAGCTGAATTTTCAGCATCATTACTCCAGTCTTCAGTGTCACATGATCTTCAGAAATCATTCTAATATGCTGATGTAGTGCTCAAGAAACATTTCTTACATGTTGAAAATTAGTTTTTCCGCTTCATATTTTTGTGGAAACCAAGATACACTATTATTCAAAAGTTTGGTTTAAGTAAGAAAATGAAATCAATACTTTTATTGAGCCAGGGGTGCATTAAAATTGATCAAAAGTGACACTAAAGACATTTATAATATTACAAAATTTGATATTTACAGTATATCAAATAAATGCTGTTCACTGAACTTTCTATTCATCAAAGAATTCTGATTAAAAAATGTATGATTTTCACCAAATTTTTAGGCAGCAAAAACTGTTTTTAACATTGATAATAATGAGAGCTGTTATTAATAATTAAATAACTATAATAGCTCATAATAATTGAGCACCAATTGAGCATATTAGAATGGTTTTTGAAGGATCATGTGACACTGAAGACTTGAATAATAACTTCAGCTTTAAATTGGATTTTAAATGTAAATCAATTGAAAACACGTCTTTTAAATTGTAATAACAATTCACAACATTATTCTGTTTTTAATAAAATGAATGCAGTCTTGGTGAACATAGGATACATCTTTCAAAAACATTCAAACTTTTGTCTGCGAGTGTATAAAACTGTTTTATTTCCCTTGAATCCAATGAAAGATGTGTTTTGTGTTGTTTTTGTGCATTTATTCTCACTTTTGGAACTGGGCTGCCTCGGCACACCAGAGCTCATGGATCAGAGAATGCTGCAAAACCAATGAAAAATGTGGAGGGAAAAACACACAAACACTCTGACAACCATCCACTGCGCTTTTACAAAACAGGCTTTTTGGTTTTCAAAGTTTATTCACATCCTCAAAGCAGATCTTCACGTCATGTTGGAATTACCGTGATTACAAAATGTCAACTTGAATATCTACACGTTTTCGCACTCATCGGTTACTTGTTTCTATGACAACGCTTACAGACGCAAAATAGATCCATTTGCTCAGTCTTGTTAATGACAGCAAATTACTTAATTGACCTCCATGTGCTTTCGCAAAACGTTTAAGACCGAAGAAAGCGCATCAGCGAGTAAAATGTCAAATAGAAATGTGTCCAGATGTTCTACACGACATTTGCATTTTGATGACACAACAGTCAAGTCTGACCTTTCATGAAGCTTGAAGATTGACGTTTTTTAGTCAGCAACTTCTAATTAGAACAATTCTGACATCAGGTGATCTGTGAAAGCCTTTTTAGTATTTGCATGTGGCATTTGTTTCATTCCGACTCTTTAATGAGATACAGAATTTGTTTCTCCTTGGAATATTTTCTTGATTAAACGGCAATAATGTAAAGTAATCGTCTCATCCTGACACCATCTGTTTCCACAGTACCAAAGGACGGCCTTAAAAGCCAAGCTGTGTTTGATGAAATCCGCATGTCGTACATCAAGGAGCTGGGCAAAGCCATTGTTAAACGCGAGGAGAACTCCAGCCAGAACTGGCAGAGGTTCTACCAGCTCACTAAGCTTTTGGACTCAATGCAGGAGGTAAGCTGGCATCTCTTACAATCAGCAAACACAAACAAGACACGTTACTGGTAGATGGTTTTATTGCATCTACAAGAGAGAATAACGTACGTATGTACTTTATGCAAGTACGTAAAATCGTGCATTGTGTTAAGGCCCAGTCCTGTTCCTGGAGATCTACCTTCCTGCAGAGTTCAGTTCCAACCATGATCTAACACATCTGCCTGTAATTATCAAGCGTTCCTGAAGATCTTAATTCGCTGGTTCAGATGTGTTTGATTAGGGTTGGAGCTCCAGGAACAGGATTGGACCGCGATAAGGAATACATTCAAGTGCATCGTCATTGCCGTAACAAACAATGCTGCGTAGTAACTCATTACATGTAATCTGGATTATGTAACCAGATTCCAAAAAATTAAGTACTTTTGATTATATTGCATTTTAAAGTATTTGTAATCGGATTACAGTTACTTTTTTATAGAGTACGTGATTAAATATTATTTGCACAATGACAGTAAATTCTTCATAACGCCTTAATTCTTCTATTTTCTCTTAAATTTTCCTTTCTGAAAAAATCCTTCTGTTTATATACATTTGGAAAGTCTTCCAGTTGTATGGAACTGCATACATCAGCTACTAGTCAGGTGACTATTGTTACACAGAAAATGGAAAGGCCACACATTTAGTTCAATTTGACATTTGATGATTTAATAAATTATTAGTTTTTCATTCTCTCACAAACCCCAGTTTGGGAAACCTCAGTGTAATGTAATGTTTAATGCACTTGTTTGTCGATTACAAAGAATTGAAGATATTTAGTTAGGTCAAAAGTAATCTAAAAGTAATCCAAAAGTACTCCGAATACTTGACCTAATATGTGTAATCCGACAGATTATGTTACTAACCACATTTTCCATTAAGTAATTTGTAGTAAGTAATGGACTACAATTTGTAAGTAATCTACCAATAGAATTACTAAAATATTTTTGACGTTCTTACAGAGGTAGCTTGCCAAAACCATAAATTTACATCGGATTCTCTTCAAACAGTTGCTCTGCCATAGTTGACCTTAAAGAGAAACCTGAAAACTTAGACTTCTTACAAATGTGATTGTTGTATTTGTTGGTTTTGAAAATCATTTATACCATGTTTAAAAAAAAAAATATATCCTTATACCTTGAATACTGTAATTTTTTTTTTTTTTTGGCAGGTGACAGTATCTTCGATGAACAGTATAAAGCCAATATATATGATATCTATTTAAAGATATTAAATAACACAACCAAATTTATATACATTTATAAATAACGCAGTTAAATTTGTTTGTGGTATTTTGTGTTAAAAACATGAATAAAAAATACAATATTTAATAGGCATTCTAAGACATGCTTAAAAGACATAAATGCATTTTTTGAATGCTGTCAGTACATAAAAAAAAGCAAATAATTATAGCGTTTTGCCTTTTTATTAGGCAGAACTGTTAAACAAAGACAGTAAACTAATGCAGATGGAGAATGTGTGCTGGGTTCTCAGTGCTGTCAAAATAAAAGTCCCGCTTTTTTATTAAGTTATTAACGGCCCAAAAAAATACAAAATGTATTGACCAATGTCGATATTTAAAAATGGCAAATATGTGCAGATATATCAGCTATGGTGATATATGGTTTGATCACTACTTGTGAATGTACACGCATTAGGTTGCATTGTAGGCATCATGCAGTTTGTAAAAGCCCTGTTGAAATGCTACTTTTGTCCACAGATGGTGGAGGGGCTTCTCAACTTCTGTTTCTACACATTTGTGAATAAATCTCTGAGCGTGGAGTTTCCTGAGATGTTGGCGGAGATCATCAGCCATCAGCTACCAAAATTTAAAGACGGGAGTGTCAAGCCTCTTCTGTTCCATCAGAAATGACTGCCTTAAGATCATAGCAATGCCTTAACGCCACCTTTTTCTTACCAGCGCTAGTCCAGCCTGCCCGTTTCCCCCCAAACATCCTGAATGAACTGAGGGATACATTCGCTTTTGCTTGATTCTCAGAGGAAAGAGGTGAAGGGCGCTCTTCAGAAATGTTCATGGAGCATGGTTCATGTACTTGGAACAGACGGAATATGACTTTGAGAAGTTAGGTTTTTAGTGACGTTCTCTTTTTTTGCATGTACACTGCTTAAAAGTTTACAAAGGTATATCAAAAAAGGGAAATGTGCCTTTTTTGCGCTTTGCGAATCAATTTCGAACATTTCTCAGGCTAACGCAATGACTTGGCATACAAAATTGATGTCGATGATTCACATTCGTCACGTCTGTCTCTGCCCGTGTCTAAACCTGCCGCGGTGGTTCTCTGGAGGTGGCAGCTCAGCGCTCTCCAGAGGTGCTAGAGATTTTGAAGCAGCCCATGAAACATAAGCCCATATTATGCAGTTTTTTTAAGTCTCATCGAATCTCCAAATCATAAAACAATTTTACCTGGAGCACCATGAAAATGCCACAAGATAATTCAATTCAAATCAATATCTGTTCCATGACTGACATTAAATACTGAGTTGTTTCTTTGTTTTTTTTGAATAGGTTCCACTGAAATGTAATTTGTAGGGATAGGTCACCCAAAAAAATCTTTCCCCAAATTTTTCCAATGTTTAATTCACCCTCATGTTATTTCAAACCTATGACTTTCTTTACACCGTGGAACACAAAATGAGAAATTCTAAATAATTTCCTGGTTGCTATTTTCTAATTAGTTGCAATGAATGGTGGCTGAAGCTTCAAAAATGAAACAAAGACAACATGGAAGTCTTGTAAAAGTGGCTCATCTATGACTCATTCTCCGTTTTCCAAGTCTTATGAATTCAGACAATAGCATGGTGTGATGAGCAAACCTAAATCAAAGTCATTATTCACTGAAAATTCCCCCTTAGTGAGCTGTTGAGAACCAGATCAGGCTGGTTCATTTAGACATTTTATGATCAACTGGTTTAACATGAAAATGTGACTCAAAACACACATGTATAAATCAGACATTTTTGTCAGTCCTCATTGTTTATCACTACTTTGGAAAAAAAAAGACCAGGATATATATATATATATATATATATATAAGTAATTTATTTGTGAACAACTTGAGGCTGAGATTTTTTTTTTTTTTTAAGGGTGAACTATTGTTTAGAGAGCTTGTGAGAGAGAGAGAACTGTTGTTAAAGAGGGTTTTTTAAATGTTGATTATTAGCTCAGGTTCACATAAAATAAATGAGCATTTTTAGTTGCAAGCATTTGGATATAAAGAGAGAGAGGTAAGTCATGAAATCGGTGAATGAGTTCAGGTTCAATTTGTCAGATTTCCATCCATTCTGGTGATATTCAGAGTAGCATATCCCAGCATTCCCCTCCTGTCGACTGCTGTGTGTTCTTGTCATTCGGTGAATGTTTGTGCTTGTTTGAAGTTGCACATCCGCCAACATCTCAGACTTCATCTTGAAAGCCGTTTTTAATTGAAATGTTTTTGGAATGCTCTCTGCATATTCTAAATCTGGTAACCCATATGAGGCCCACAAGTTTTGACCCACTTTTCTTGTCTTTGTCTTTGATGTATCCCTGTGGTGCCAAGCCACAGACGTACTCTTTTTGTGGTAACATCAGAACAAAAGGAACATTTGTTGCATGTGTTTGCTCATCATTACGTGTCAACTGACATTCATGTCTGCGCTTCAGGGTTTTTGCACCAGCTACGCTTGATTACCAGTGTAAAGGAATAATTCATCCAAAAATGAAAATTGTTTCCATCATGTTGTTCCAAACCTATATATGTAGTGATTTTTCTGTCACTATGAACTATGTTGTATGGAAAAGTGCTGTGTGAAGATTCTTCACAATGTTGTTTTTTTGTGTTCCACGAGATAAAAAAAAAAAAAAGCATATGGGTTTGGAACACAGGTGAGTAAATAATGACAGAATTTTCATTTAAATAATATTCCTTCTAATTGTTTTATTTTTTGCACTTGAGTATATTTTAAGAGACAAACTCCTCGCTAGGTTTGTGAGATGTCGCATTTTCTATTCGTTTCACAGTAAGCCTTGCAAAGGGAGTTTGTGAGCCATTACACATAGGTTGTATAAATTCAGAAGTATACTGAAATGTCTAGAAAATATTGTTTAATCATTGATCATTTTTAAATGAAACTAAAACTCAAATATAATTACGCAGATTCTTTGATATACACATCATTTTACAACAAAACAATTTTAATACATAGTTGAATTGCTATCTTTTTTGTAAAGAACTGTATTACAGATGCACTTTTGAGAAAAGTGTTTATGTTGTATGTAAATGTCAATTCTATAAATCTATAGGGGATATATGAGTAATCACTGTTTTAAAGAATGACAGCTTAAAGTCGGGGATAAAAGTATATTTTGTATAGTGCAACAGAGTGACCAAAGCAATGCAGATTATAAAAAATAATAATAATACAATTAAAAAAAAATAAAAATAACTATTTAAAGCATTTACATTTTACAGTAGCACTTACTACCCAACTCTAGGCTCTTTTTACTTTATTTTATCCTTTTCTATTTCTTTTATAAAGATTTAGGCTTTGGTCTCATGTATAATGCTGTAAAATTAACTAGTAAAAATATAAATAAAGCTGCGTGTATAAGTAATGTATCAGAGCCTGAGAATTTGCACTACCCTAATACTGGCCTGACATAGTATATTTTGTACAAAAATTCATGCAGATACTATCTTTAAAGATTAAGGGCAAATCATCTTTCACTGGTATATGGCTTTCATTAAAGTCTTTTTGGTTTTGTTTTGTTTGCATTTCAGTTATATGTAAAATAATCCAATGTAAAGAATATACAACGTCTGTTTGTTTGTTTGGAAAAAAAAAAAAAAAGTTTTGTATGACTTCTGTATTACAGCTCTCCTGTAGTCAATGTCGATCTTTACACATATTTGATTAAATGTTGGACAGAATTTGTCCAGAGGGAGGGTGATATCATTGTGCTAATTTGCTATTTTTCCCATTGTATCTGAATGTTGACACAAATGTACATTTGGACACAGGTTTATTTTCTTCTCAGCCCTATTACTGGTCTGTACATTTCAGAATCCCAGTATTTTTACAATAAAAAATACAGATTTATAGAATAGTTCATCTGTACCAAACATACACCGATTAAACCAAGTCCAAAAAAACTTCAGAGCAGTTTGGTTATTGAATTTTTTTTATTTTTATTGAATAGAAAAAAAATAAATCTCAAACTTAACATTTTTTTTTATTATTTATTTGATCCTAAAAAATATTAAGGCTCAGAAAACTGAACATAATAATAAAAAAAAATGTTAAAATATCAATTGGGCTATCAAAAAATTAAGTTAGTGTGCTACAATAAAAAAAAAAAAATATAATTCATATTTACAAAAACATTATACCTTATCAATTGTCACTTATTTACAATGTTAACACACTCCAAAAGAACACAAATCTCATCAGAGATAATGCTTAAATAAGAGTGGTTTACATACGATGTTAATTCACATTAAGAAATTATTTACACTTTTCCACTTACATGCTAAGAAAGGAAGGGAAAAAAATTCTGAATATTTTTTTAAAATGCTTCCTGATATACAAAAGAGTGCAAGAGTTTTCTTTCCCATAATTAACAGTCATCTCTTAGTAGTTCTAAACAAAACCGATACGAGGACCTGAAGGACACAAAAGACATTCAAAAAGCCCCGGACTGCATAGAAACAGCACACATTTGACATCATGGTGAACCGGGAAGTGCTCACATATAAAAGCATTATTTATAAAAAAAAAAAAAGCTGTAATAGTAATACAAATAAATTCATAATGAGCCCCTAAATACACAATTTCTTGATTGTGGCCGAGATAGCAGCAGCAGCAACTTGGTCCCGGGGTTGTTGTTTTTTTGTTCCCTTTTACCTTGTGTTGAACTTTGTCTTAAACAGCGGCAATGCATTGTGGGATGCGTGGAACAATGACGCGCTAGGGGACGGCCAAAAAAAAGGTACTATCGCACGGGCATACTAACTCGGCTTTTCTGTCGAAGTGTTCAGTTGTTTCAAAAGCGGGCTCTGTGTGTCACCGCTTTCATTGACTTCCAGCTACACAAACTCCACGTAGTTCTCCGGAATTAACCCCTTCTTCCCGTCCAAAGTGCCCTCCAGCCAGCCTGGCTCTCTTGAGGGATGAACTATGAGACAAAGATGCAAACGAAGATCATTTTGGATGCCACTGACGACTTTATCCCCGATTTATCCTGTATTTTCACAGTGTGAAAGGAATAAGGACTGTTCCAGATTCAATTAGCAGCATCACACAATAACCACCAAAACGAATCAAGTTGACTGTATCTACCAAAGAGGCCCAAGAACTAATCTTTCGAAGCATTTGAAGCCTCGTTTCACAATTCGATTCGATTTTGATTCACAAGCTTGCGATTCGTTTAGATTCCGAATTGATTCGATTCAATATCAATTATTTTGGATGTATATCAGGTACAGTACATGGCAAATTTTCTCAAAAAAAAAACAAAAAAAAAACAATCTGTAAAATAGGCATGAAAGTCAGTTGGTACTACATTACTATAATACTGAAGGTTAAAAGCTGATTTCTATACAAACAAATTACACTCAATAAAGCTTTTACAATAATAAAGTTATAATACTAACTTTACAGTTACATAATTATATTTCTACTCCAATTCGTTTTGTGAAATATAAACATTTAAACGGTGGCTGTCATAAAAACTTGACCGATTATTCAAACATAAATGCAGTAGAACAGTCAAAATGATAATGAATGTTATATGGTGCATATATTTAGCAAAATGTTCCTCTCTCTCGAGTTCATTGGCGCTGCCGCTTCTCTTGATCTGAGGCTCGACAGTGATCTGTCACTCCACACTAAACAGCGCCAAAACAGCATTTATTGTTTGAATTTGGAATAAAATGGACAGAATCTGAAATCTGAGACTTTGTTTCATATCAAAAGTAAGGAAGCTTATTGCGATTTATTGGATGGGAGGCACGCTTCCATTCAGTTCATTAACTGAAAACAGGCTAGACTAATCGATTCTTGGTATTTAAGAATTGATATTTCGTAAAAATTAGAATCGATTAAAATCGATATATTTTTTTTAACCCAGCCCTACTATTTACTCTTGCAATAGAGCCGCGGTGAACACGCCTAAGGTTTCATTAAACGATAATCTGATCTACTGCTAAGCGGTGTCAAGTGTCAAACTGCGGCAGCTTGGAGCTCTGATAACCTGTTAAAGGGCAAAAGGTGGAACAAAGCAGAGATATCAGTTTGCTGCTCTTATGCCGACTCTCAAGACTCAAACCTGCTTAACTAACCAGATATACCCAGTACACTGAGGGCTAAAAATGGAGACCCCGCTGTTGGGGACTTACCATTCTCGAATATGGTGCCTGCGATAAAGGACAGCTCAGAGTCATGTTCAGCCTTGCAGGCGTATCGTGCACGTGCCTTTCGTGGCGGAGGACTGGAGAAGATAAAAATATATATTAATCTTATAAATCTTTGAATTAAGTTCATGATTTGCAGATGAATTAATTTATTTGCAATCAATTTCTGATCAGAAAAATACCCACAAGAAGATAATTCAAAGACATTGACTTAAAAAAAAAAAAAAAACCAATCACATCATCTTTTTCATAAAACACCTGACATTAAAAACGTTAAAAAAATGTATGAGTTCAAATGTTCAGTGCTCTGACATCAGTAAATAAAACATCTCAAAAGTGCCATTATATCACCATGGCTTGTTGAAAATGATGCCATGGTAATTTTATGCATGTATGTATGTGTATATTTATTTATTTATTTAATGTTGGTCTTTGAAATACCTTGTGTTACCATGTAAATACTATGGTACATTAATGTGTTAATCATTCTGTACCATATTATATAATAGGGATGCTCCCATATAAAAACACTGGCTAATATTATTTTGTAATACTGTTTTGTCTGAGCAAAAATAAATAAATAAAATAAAAATGAATAAATAAATGCATAAAATAAAGTAAAATCATACAATAAAATAAAGCACTAAATAAAACAACCATTTTAAATGCTAGTGAATTTTAAATGCAAAGTGAATTATGAAACACAAATGTATCATGTACAGTATGAAAAAAATGGGTATTGTTAATGGATGGATATTATTGCATTATTAAATTATTAGTGTTTTTAAAGATTAAATGTGTGCACTAGATAACAGAAAAAAGTAATCGAAATGTAAAAATAGTGGCTATAAGCATTCTTAATTAAATATACAATAACAACTGATATATATATATATAAAAAAAAAAAAACTCTAATATCAGCCTCTAATGTCAATGACTGTTATGGTACAGATAATTTGTGCATTCATAGTATAAATAGTGCATTTTAATAAATAAGACTGACAAAAAATTACCAGAAAGTTCTCCATTTAGATACCATAGAACATTAATATTCAAATCATAGTAGCATAGTATCAAGTACCATAGTAAGTATTAAGAAAAAGAAAATAACGATGGCACTTCATTTTACAGTCCTGTTCCACATGTGCATACTGTGTACTTATTAAAGTAATTATATGACTGGGTAATAACTAGGTACTAACCCTGAACCTACGCCTAAACCTAACCTTAACCCACACAGTTACCTTATTACCCAGTGCTTTCTTAGGTAAGTACACTGTATGTACACTTACTATAAAATAAAGTGCAACCAAAATATGATTGGTGTACATTCACTTATACTGATCATTAAACATCTTCATGAAATACATCGTCATACAAACAGTATATGCAACAACAGAAATGACACAGTATATTATTACCCACAATGCATCAAACATGTCCCCAGTGATGACATTAGTTGATGTATATGCTCAGATGTGAAGAGGGAAGGTGTGAATGTGCGAAGCGGAAGATTAACACCGAACGATTAGAATACTGCACTGCTATAGATAGCCGCCTAAGCAGGCCAGAGCAGGACACACACCTGACGGGGGAGGTTTCGCTGGAGGGGCTGGAGGGGGCAGAGAACATCGGCCACGAGGGGGAGCGTGGTGAGGTGGGACTGGGTGAAGCCGGGCTGTGACACACACACACACACACACACACACACACACACACACTGTGATCCCAGCGCCAACATTTATGTTACGGCAGCTGCTGAGTTAGAACTTTCACAAGAGACTTTAAAAGGAAGTTGCATCATCGGTTTAAAGAAATAGACATAAACGTAGTTAAACATGCTCGAGAGTTTCATGCTTACAGGAAAAGTTCAGCCAAAAATGACCATTCTGTCATAATTTATGCAACTCATGTCTTTCATGTCCTGTGTGAGCACAAAAGGAGATGTTTTGACGAATGAAATGACAGCCCTTGGTCACTGCATGTGAAATACTGTAGCAGTGTGAATACTTGCCAAAGCATCTTTTTGTCTTCCACTGGAGAAAGAAAGTCTGGTTTAGTGAGTAAAACATGACTGAATTGTCATATTTAGTGGAACTGTTCCTGAGTTAAACATGCTGAGGAAAAACATTAGTGATCATTTGTGTTAATGTAACATGAGTAATCTCACATTAAAGGCTTAGGTCACTTTCTTTCAAAAATGAAAATTAGGCTGCGTTTTACTCACCTCCGAGGCATCCTAGGTGCATTTTTGGGTGAACTAACCCTTTAATCTGATATGGTTTGTGTTGACTAATCTAAACGGTTTCTTTTTTTTTCATTTTATTTTTTTACCCCTCTCAAAATTGTCCATGAAAACTTCAATGCTGACTATAAAACTAGATGAACTTACCTTGTCGATGTACTGCTGCGAACCTTTGGATTTTGACTGTAAATAATAGAAACAATGTTAAAATATTTGTTGCTATCTCAGCTTAAAGGGTTAGTTCACCCAAAAATGAAAATTAGCCCATAAATTACTTACCCTCAAGTCATCCTAGGTGTATGTGACTTTCTTCTTTCAGACGAATCCAGTCAGAGTTGAAGAAAGTCATATACACCTAGGATGACTTGAGGGTAAGTAATTTATGGGCTAATTTTCATTTTTGGGTGAACTAACCCTTTAACATGCATGAATATACAAATATGCAAAAAAAAAAAAAAAAAAGATGTACCGTATTAATTTAAAACAAAGAGTTGTTTCTCCATGCATGGTCATGCAAGTATTTCAGGTTTACAATCTTTTTCACATATGACCTAAAACCTTAATTATTTCTGCAGTTCCGTTTGCTGACATTAGTGGCGCAGAAATGATACACTTCACCTTTGAGCTTAAAGGGATAGTTCACCCAAAAATGAAAATTACCCCAAAATTTACTCACCCTCAAGCCATCCTAGATGTATATGACTTTCTTCTTTCAGACGAAGACAATCAGAGTTATATAAAAAATGTCCCAGCTCTTCCAAGCTTTATAATAAAGTCCAATAAAGTGCATCCATCCATCATAAAAAGCCACTCTCTCGTGGACATGCGTAGGACAGTTGGCAGAAGCTAGAGTTTACGGTTTATAAAGTTGTAAATACGGATATTTTTCTTACACAAACGCATCGATTTGCTTCAGAAGGCCTATATTAACCCCCCGGAGCCGTGTGGAGCACTTTTTATGATGGATGGATGCGCTTTATTGGACTTCAAAATCTCAACAGCCATTCACTGCCATTATAAAGCTTGGAAGAGCCAGGACATTTTTTAATATAACTCCGATTGTATTCGTCTGATAGAAGAAAGTCATATACACCTAGGATGGCTTGAGGGTGAGTTCAAACCAACATTGTTTATCCACAATAAAATAAAATCTTAAGCGAGGCATAAATGTGGACATCATCATAATCAATATTTAATTTGCACAGAAGCAAATGAAGCTGCTTATTGGACACTGGAATTTGTAGACAAGCATCTATCACACACAAACACACTCATCACTAAACTGATGAGCATCTATTTACAGTAGATAGTGGGGCTGTCATGGGAACAGCATGACCTCAAGTGCTGAGTTAACTATAGTAATCTAAATGTCCATACATTAGTAGTGTTAATGGACTCTCACTCAGTCGAAGTCAAACTGCATTTAGTCTCCATCCTTCTGTATTTACTGTTTATAAAATGGAAAGTTCCGGTTCTCATTGGTCAATAAAAGAGTTCTAGCCATGCCAAAATATGTTATTTACAGTTATGATGCAAATTGCTGTTTATTTGTGTATCACTGTGTAAAGCCGATTAACCTTGCCAGGAACTATATCTTACAGCAGGAGGATGAAAGCTAATGAATTTGCTGAATAAAATAACCAAACTTTGTTAGTATTATGTTGGCAAAATTACATTATGTTGGCAAGAGCGTCCCAAAATGTGACACAAAATGTCTACGAATCCATTTTTAGTAACCATTAATTATTTATATTGATTCCTTTGTGGCAAAGTCATAGCAGATATTATATTTTGTATAATATCTGTGGGATATATTATAATTTGTAACTTTTGTAATCTGTTGTATTGTACACACTACTGGTCAATCGTTTGGAATCATTAAGACATGATTAATATTTGTGTCGAATATCTTTGAAGAATAGAAAAAAAAAAAACATTTATTTGAAAGAAATCTTTTGTAACATTATGAATTTGCAGTCACTTTTGATCAATTAAACGTGTCATTGCTTAATAAAATGATTAATTTAAAAATAAATAAATAAATAAAATTATACATTATTCCAAACTTTGAATAGTGTATCATGGTTTCCACAAAATAAATAAATAAATAAATAAAATTAAGAAGCAAACCACTGTTTTCAACATTGATTATAATAAGAAAAACAAGAAATGTTTTTAAGCACCAAATGATTTGAAATTAAATTATTAAAATGTAAAATATAATTAAAATAATATTTATAATTATTAAAATGATAAATTATCAGAATGGCACTGAAGACTGTAGTAAGGGGTCCTGACAATTCAGCATTTTAAAATATATTTAAATATATAAACTTATTTTAGATTGTAATAATATTTTACAATATTACTGTTTTTACTGTATTTTTTATTAAATAAATGTAATTAAAACATCTTCAAATGATTTGAAATTAAATTATTAAAATGTAAAATATAATTAAAATAATATTTATAATTATTAAAATGATAAATTATCAGAATGGCACTGAAGACTGTAGTAAGGGGTCCTGACAATTCAGCATTTTAAAATATATTTAAATATATTTTTTTATTATTATTATTATTATTGTAATAACATGACACATGCTTTTACTGTATTTTTGATCAAATAAGTTAAGCCTTGAATAATGCAAGTCTTCTTTCAAAAACATATTTACTTTTTTTTTCAGAACTTTCATCAATCCAAATTTTGGGTCAGATCATCTTGGGCCCATGCCACGATTACATATGCTCTGAGGACATCAATCAGGAAGTAGACTATTATGGCGCAACTTGCTGGGTATCATTGCCACAAAGCATTACTGTAGTAGATGTTCAGTGCCAGTGCCACCTACTGGCCAAAGCATCATAAAAAAGGACAAAAAAAAAGGTTATGACTTTGGAATAATTTTGCCTAAAGCTCCATGTCTGTATTACTATAGCCACTGGCTTTTCCAGATTCGGTTTACAGAATTTGATTTATTCGTTTATTTTTGCTATAATTCCCACAAAGTTACTAATGAAGATGCCAAATAGGAAATCAGCCATTATCTCGGAAACACTTCTACATATTGACACGGAATTTATTATTAATGGCACATACCTATAATTGATCTGATCTGAGAAAACGATTGGTCACTGCGCCACCTACTGGTTATGTTATCAAACTGCCAATAATAGTAAATCTAATCACAGCTTTTGGACTTATTTTCCTTAATTCACTTTGGTGAATGGTCCAGTAAATCCACTCAACAGTGTGCTTGTCCCATAATTGCTGCTAGAATCTATAATAGTATTTTATTTTATGTATTCGATTTATTTTATCTTCCGCAATGGACTGGGTGTTTCCCTGTCTACTATGGTCAGAGATGCTGGGAGAGCCTCCAGCATCCCCACAACCCTAATCAGTACAAACAGTTTGGAAAATGAATGGATGGACAGATATATTATATATAAGTTTAATATATGTATTTTTAATATGTTTTATTTTAGTTTCCTATGACTTTCATAGGAGTGTAGATGTTTGCATACACTTGTCCTTTGCATTCAGCTACTTTAATTTCTTGTCAAGGCACCACTTTCAGTTTCTAGACTGAGAGAGCCAACATAATTCAACTGATCACATGTTTTCTCAAGTAGTTCATCAATCTCCAGGTCTCCATTGATTTACAGCCTGCTGGGTCCTCTGAGGCCTTTGAGATGGGTAGATCAGCACTGCCACACTTAATATATACGTCTATATATAGATGACAGCATTCATCTCAGTCCTGTGGCTTTGAGCCGCCGATCCTCACAGCTGATTTACCACCGAACACACACACACAGAGTTTCCATGCTGTATGGGGACATTCCATAGGCGTAATGGCTTTTATACTGTACAAACTGTATTTTCTATATCCTTACCCTAAACCTACCCCTCACACAAAACTTTCTGCTATTTTAGATAAAAAAAAAAAAACTTTATTCTGTGTGATTTATAAGCTTGTTTCCTCATGGGGACCGAAAAATGTCCCCACAAGGACAAGGACTTTGGATATTGCCATCTTTGTGGGGATATTTTCTCACCATAACAGGGTATACCTGAACCACACACACACACACACACAGCACTGCTGTGACTATTAATCTCATAATATCATGGACGCTTACCTGGATTAACCTTCACCGACTACAAAACAAATAGGCACTGCTCGGATTGCAAAAACAGGATTTTTCTGCTTAATCCACGAAAATATTTAGATGCTATATAACTGCTATCATGACATATTTGAATAAACTGCTGAATTTTATTTTGCTTAATGTTTCTGCATTTCATAGCAGTCAGTAGTGCTTTTTAATATTTTAATCCAATAAACCAATGTAGGTTAATTTAGTTAACCTTCATTCTGTTCCTCTCTGTATTATGTAAATGCAGTTCTGTCATGACAACTCTCAGAGAGTTGAGCATGGTAATATACATATCAATATTAATGTGTTTGGTCTTGGTAGAATAGATCAGCTGCACTGCTTCTGCGAGACTGAGACTTGCTACTGCCAATACATCCATGGACATGCTGCTGTGAGTAAGAAATACTGCTGCTGCACATACAACATAAATAAAATAACCCCCATATATAACATAAATTAAATCACCCCGTAGTAGATCTATACAGGTGGAGCTGGGGAAGGTAGCGGGTTTCTGAAGCGCGCTGCAACTGCAACAGCAAGCACTAGCTGAGTATTTGAATGTTGAGCAGCAAGCTCATTGGCTGCTAATGCGAAAAAAGCCAATCGGCTGCATGATGTGAATAATTATGTAATTATATCAGATTGAGTTAGAACTTATCGGCCTGTGCCATCTAGAGTTTCATGACAGAACTTTGCAATTATTTTGTTTTTGTTACTTGATTATAAAATTGTCATGACATACAAGGTAACTTAAAAAAGTTTTTTGTCTAATATAAATTTGTGTTTGTTTCATATAGTATACTATTATTTACTATACTGTTTATATTTTCATTACAACCCTATTTATTACAACCAAATCAAGACATCAAGTTTGTGCATTTAATACACAACATTAAATACAGAGTTCTGGAATGAAACTCTAGATGGCGCAGTCCAATAGGTCTAGCTCAAGCTGACCTGGCGACATCATTGTCACATGGCAGCTGATTGGTTCTCTCCTGTATCGGTAGTCAATACCT